GGGGGAGGAGGAGGAGGAAAACGCGTCGTCCCCGCCTTGTGCTGCGTTTGTTGCCACGGGTGTGCCCTCCGCGCCGAGCCAAGGAAGCGGGGGGCACCGGGGGGGGGGCACCGGGGGGGAGGGGGGTGGGGGAGGGGGGGGGGAGGGGGAGGACAGAGGGTTTGGACAGGTTGTGGTTGTAGGCTAGGGTGCAGGGGTGCAGGGCGTGGGTAGGGGGCGGGCCATGGCCATGACCATGGTGGTGGTGGTGGTGGTGGTGGTGGTGGTGGCGTGTGTGTTCGTTGTTTCGCACAAGCGACATGCGACCAGGGCGTGACCTGGCATGGGCATGGGCATGGGCATGGGCATGGGGGTAAAGACGTACACTTGAGGGCATGCATAAAGTACTGGAGGGAGGAGACATAGAGGTTGTATGCCTCCTCAAACTTCTCCTCAGAGTCTGCCACACATGCTTGCCGCACAATCTCAATGCCCTTGGACAGGTATGACGAGTTGGCCGCCATGCTGCCGTCGAGCGAGTGTCCGACCGAGTGCCGAGAGCAGTGGGTGCCGCTCGCCACCGGTTTAATCAATGGCTCTTGTCCAAGTATTCGTTCAGCCCGTAGCCCTCCACCGCTGCCCCTTCCCCCTCCACCCTACCGCCACACCACTCCCCTCTCGCCCCTCCCCCCCCCCCCCTCCTCCACACATCGTCCCCATGCTCGCTCGCACTGCCCACGCCTTGCGCATGGCCGCCTTCGCACGCTCGGCTGCATCGCTCTCGCCGCCACACTCCATGCTCGCCAACCTGACTGCTCGAGGTCTCTCACCCGCTGCTGCACAGGCGGCAGTCGATGCACTCGATGCCGCTGCCGCCGACAAGAAGGCTGCCGATGCCGCGGTCGCCGACGTTCAGCGGGCCCGCAAGGCCCTGGCCAAGGCCGGCGGATCGACGGCGCCGGAGCGGCTGCGCGAAGAGGGCGCAGCGCTCAAGGTCCGCGCGGCAGAGGCCAAGGCCCGCGCTGCCGACGCCGCCGCCGCCCTCGCCGCGGCCAAGGCCACGCTGCCCAACGAGATGGCGCCCGACACACCCATCGGCGGCGAGGAGGCAAACGTCGTGGTCCGGAGCGTCGGCACGCCGCCAGAAAGCGGGCTGGATCACGTCGACTTTGCTACCGCCCGCAAGTGGATCGAGTTTGAGGCTGCGTCGGCCGTCTCCGGCCCGGCCTTCTACTACCTTGCCCGCGAGGCTGTCCAACTCGAGGCTGCCTTGGTGGCGCACGCACTCGACACCGCCATCGCCGCAGGCTTTGTCCCGTACACCGTCCCGGAAATTGTCCACGAGCATCTGGTCGAGCGGTGTGGGTTCCAGCCGCGCGGCGAGTCCTCGCAGGTGTACAAGGTGACGACCGACTCACCGGGCCACGACGCGGCCAAGTGCCTTATCGGCACCGCCGAGATCCCCCTCGCCGGGCGCTTCCTCGACACACTCATCCCTCTGCCCGAGCTTCCCGACTCGGCCCGCTCTGTCGCCGTCTCCCGCTGCTTCCGCGCCGAGGCCGGTGCCTCAGGCCGCGCCACCCGTGGCCTTTACCGCGTCCACCAGTTTACAAAGGTCGAGCTGTTTGGCCTTGCCCAGCTCGCCGACGCCAAGCAGCTCCACGCCGAGCTACTTGCCCTCTCCGAGTCCATCGTCGCCTCGCTCGACCTCCCGTACCGGGTCCTCCGCATGGCCTCGCGCGAGCTCGGCGCACCGGCTTACGCCAAGTACGACATCGAAGCCTGGATGCCGTCGCGTGGCGGCTTTGGCGAGGTTGCCTCGGTCTCCAACTGCACCACCTACCAGGCTGCCCGCCTCAACACCCGCATCCACGACCCGCGCGCTCCGAAAAAGTCGCGCAACTCGCTCGCCGCCACCCTCAACGGCACCGCCGCCGCCATCCCGCGCCTCATCATGGCGCTCATCGAGAACCACGGGACAGTCGACGAGGACGGACGCCCGGTCCTCGCCCTCCCGCCGGCGCTCCGCCCGTATCTTGGCGGCCGCGAGCTGCTCTAGCCTCCATTGGCACCCCATGGCTACTATTTACGCAGACGTCGGCGTCGGAAAGTACTCGGCAAGCTTGGCCTCGAGCCCGTCGAGATCGCTGTCGAGAGAGCCGGCAAAGTGGAAGGCACCGTTGGGCGCGACGAGCGCAAAGTCGGCGACGTCGCCGTACGCGCTGGCCACCTCGCCGTGGGCGTCGAGGACCTGAGTGAGGTGCGCCCGGAGGCCCGAGACCGGCTTGGGCGCCGAGACGACAACGTCGAGGCCAGCGTTGCCTGCGGCAATGGCCGAGGCGTGGACCTGGTTGGCGAGCTCGACGAGCGAGGCCGTCTTGCCCTCGTCCCCGCCTTCGGCCGCAATGACGAGGAGCGTAAACCCGATCCGCGGCCGGAGGATGTCCTGCAGCGTCGACTTGCGCCAGAGCTGCAGACGCGGAAGCACCGCCCGTGCTGCGTCGGCCGCAGAGTCCTTGGCGGCGGCGGCGCCGGCCGGCGAGAGCCAGCCGAGCGTCTCCAGCGCCGTCGCCCACCCCAGCCGCGACGCCTCGGCCACGCTCGCCGACTCGGGCACCACCAGCTCGACCGCCGCCACCTCCTCGGCCAGTTCACCTGCGCTCGCGCCCGACCAGCGAGTCGACGCCGAGCGCCGCCGACGCAGGCGCAAACCGCGATGCCAGCTGCGCCTCCAGCGCGTCGAGCAGCATCGGGGCAGGCAGCTCCAGCGAGCCGCCGGGCGCAGTCACCTCGGCGTGCAGGCCGCCCAGTGGCGGCGGCACGTCGACGTCCGGCAGATACGGGACCCGCCCCTCGCTCCGCGCCGCGTACGGCCCGCGCCCATGCCGCCGTGCAAGCAGATCATGCACAAAGCCGCGATGGAGGCGCGGAAAGTCGCGCCACGCGTCGAGCGCCCGCACGTCGCCCTCGTCAAGCGTCACCGCCGGCGCCTCACTCCCGGCGCCTCCGCGCCCACCCGCCACCATCGCCGGCACGTTGCGGCGCAGGCACTCGATGGCCGCCACGTACGGGCCAGCCCCGCTGCCGACCGCAACCACCGCGTTCGTCCCACTGCCCGCCGCCGGGTTTGTCGCGCTCGCCGCCCGCACCCGCCGCAGACACCAGCCGCGCAGACGCTCCGCCGGCCGCCACCGCCCCGCGCACCTGCCGCAAGAACAAAGCCATGTCTCTCTCGTGTCTGTTGCGCTGCTGACCACAGAGAGGAGGTGCGGTCGCACCCATACTCGCCCCCGTGCTCGCCCCCGTCTCTCCCCCCTCCCCCTCTTCCCGCCGACCGAGGATGACAGCGAGATCCGCCCGCGAGTTGCGACCGGCAAACCAGACGCTGCCACTTGCGAGTAGCCACAGCCTCTGGCCGGGAGGGGAGGGGGAGTCTACTGGCAGAGTTTGCAGTTTATGGGCAGATAGAGTTGCCAGGTTACGCGGGCTACTCGCCCGGGATCTGCTCAAACATGTCCAGGATCTTGTTGCGGTGCTTGCAGAGCAGGCCCGAGGAGCCCTGGATGCGGTCGGTGATGACGGCAAGGAGGTTGCGCGAGGCGCGGAGCTTGTCGACCGTGTTCTCGACGAGAGCCAGAATCTGGACGTGCGTCGAGTTGTCGCGGTCGGGCTCGATGAGGTCGCGGAAGAGCTTGTGCGAGTTCGCAAAGACCTTTTCGGCCGACGAGTTGGCCTGCATGAGGGCCTCGGCCTGGCGCATGAGGTTGTCGAGGGCGGCGGTGTTGTCGAGCGTATCGAGAGTAGTCTCCTGCTTGACGAGGCCAAGGAACTTGGAGTGCTCAGCGGCGGGCTTGAGCTTCTTGCGGCGCCGAAAGGCGGTGCCTGGTGCGGCCTTGCGCTTGCGGCTCTCCGACTCGGAGCCGCGCTCCCGGGCCAGCTTGGCCTCCTGCTCCGACCGCAGCCGCTCGCTCTCTTGCTCGCCGCGGAGACAGACTTCGGCAGCGAGGAGGAGCGACTGGAGCTTGCCCGGAGCGTCGGCCTCGTCCTCGTCAGACACAACAACCTCCTCCTCGACAATCTCATGCGGTTCGACGACCTCGTTCATCGGCACAGGCGCAGTGCCCGCAGCCATGCCCATCGGCGCCTGCCCGGTGGCGTACCCATTCCCGCCGTAGTTGTACGACTGGTGCCCGTGCTGCATGGCGTGGTTCATCGAGCCAGGGTGCATCAATTGCGTCTGCGGAAGCACAGCCACGGGGTATGGCGACGAGTACTGCGCCGCCTGCGCATACTGGTGGTACACGTTGGGCGCCTGGAACGGCGTGTAGAACCCGGGCGACGCCATGTGCCCGGACATCGGCATTTGCACCATCCCCACATCCTGCTGCGACGCGTGGTGCATATGCTGGTGGTGGGCGGCGGCGGCGTGCTGCTGGTGCTGGTGGGCGGCGGCGGCGTGCTGCTGGTGCTGGTGCTGCGCCGCCGCCGCCGCTGCTGCTGCCGCCCGCGCCTCGGCCTGCGCCGCTGCTGCTGCTGCCGCTGCGGCTTCGGCCGCCTGCGCCGCCGCCGCCTGTGCTGCGGCCTCGGCTGCTGCTGCCGCCGCCGGATCGACCGGGTTCTGCGCCTGCGTATCCCTGGCCACCGGCGCCTGGGCAGCTGCACCGACCTCGTGCTGGGCGCCCACCACCGGCACCACGCCAGCGTCCGCCTCTGCTGCCACACCCTGCTCAACGGCGGGCGCCACTTCCATGGGCTGCGGCGCTGCAACCTTGGTCGGCGGGCGCCGCCTCTGCTGGTGCCACTGCCTCTG